CTTCAATAACTAGAATGTTTTCTACACAGTGGTTGAAAATGTGAGACAAGCAAAGATACTTCTCCACACAGAGCTATGAACAAAGTACCTCACACTTGAGATCAAAAAATGCCAAAGCCAAAGATGGACAATCCATATAGCAGTGAACAACATGAAAATACAGATCAGGAAGGTTCTTGGTTTTAGGGCCTTTTCCAATACTGCATTATAGTGGGGTTTTTTTTCCTTTTGAGAGAAAGAGAGAATGATGGTATTGCCATGGGACTAAACACAGTCACTCTTCCCCTAAATAATTCTAAAAGTCGTATTTGTATGAACTTGGGCTTATGGCAGTGGTTCCCAAATGGGGTTGCAACATCAGGGGATGGGGTCACAGGGGTGGGGGTTGTAGGTTGGGAGTGAGGAGCCATGTTAAGGAAATGGGGCAATAAATGGGGTCATGCTGAGGAAAAGTTTGGGAAGCATTGGTTTAGGAACTATGTAACCACTGATTAGATAAGATCATTAAACCATTTTTTAGAGTAACTATTAAGGAAATTTTTGCAGATTTGCAGGCATCACTGTACAAGCACCGGGACTCTTTTCACTTATGTTTATATGCCCTTCTCTAACAAACTTAATACACAAGAAGAGATCAAATGCAACAGTCCTTTTGTGAGTTGGGGTACTTTAAGTACTGCCTAAATCAGTGGTGCTCACATTTTTGGTCACTGGGCCACATGAATGGCACACTGTCCCATGCACCAGGATCAGACTGCAAGGCTCTGTTCTGCCTCCATTCATCTGCAGCCTGATCCTGGGTGGGTGGGGGGCATTTCAAAGTCCCAGGGCCCAATGCTGGCATGTGAGGCTTAGCCAGGATTAGGCCCTGTGTCACTCCTGCCTGGCTGGGGTCAAATCTTGCACTGTCCAGCAAGCTCAGTCTAGCATGTAGGGTGACAGGCCATGGAGCTCTCCACAACACCTGTGTGGAGCCCCACAGGCTGGATTACCCAGCACTGAGGGATGGATCTGACCCGTGGGACGGGGCTTAAACACCCTTGGCCTAAATAATAAACAAGTACCTGAGTAATGATTTAGCCTCTGCATATTTTGAAATCCTTGGTACATGCTTGATATATCATTTTTTTCCCCCAAAACAGCATCTAATCTTTTTTTTTTTTTAATCATTGTCTCTTAACTGTGAGCTATTTTTGTTTCACTGAGAAGCCACTAACAATCTAGCAAGTGTACTTCATTTCCTTGTAATTATTTCTCTTGATAACCCCAGGAAGATTAACCAATGGATCATTTGGGAATACATAACCAACTACGTGTAATAAATGGTTATGACTCACATTTTAATGTTCTCTAATTGGAGTATGCATATGGCCATCATATTTTTTTTGCCTGCTTTACTTTTTCATGCCATGTAGTTTGCCTTTGTTAAAAAAGAGGCAGTTTGTGTTAAATATATTCTTTCCTTACCATTCTAAATTCAGATTCAAATGTACAAGGGCAAGTTGTTTTAGACATTGTCTGAATTTTATACTTCTTTATGAGTAGTCAGACTGTCTAATGTATATTTCAGGGATATTTAAAAAGTATTTCTGTCTGCAATTCAAAAAATAATAAAACAATGCAAATATTATCTTCCTTCCAGCCTCTTCTACATTTTTGCAGCTATTTATTTGATAAGCATAGTTGTAAATCAGCAATGTGACCAGAAACAACACATTGTGTTATTTCATCCTTATATGGTTCCCTATCAAAATTGCCCTGTTGACAAAGAAGTCATTTAATTGCCAACCCTGCAGCCTAAGCCTAGGATCTGAAAACCAATTACTCCTTTGGCTCAAAAATCATCAACAATTAAATTTCAACAGCTGAATCTGTCAGAGAAAAAACAGAATTTATGAGTCAGATTTTGAAGCGTCTAAGCTTATTAGGCATCTAAGTGTGATCCTCTTCCATCTTACTCAAGTCTCTGAAATATTGGTACACACCTGCTTTTGTAACAACTTCATTTTAGCCTTAAGACTGGGTTACAAAAAAAGCAAGGAGGAGGAAGACCCACCCACCTTTTGCATTAACATTTTTTGCAGGGACTTGAACACAGTCTGGAACAGGCTGGGACTGGAACAGGATTGCAGCTAGACACCCAGTAGGTAGAATGGGATCTGGCCCAATACAACAAACCATAACTATACTCAAGTGAAGTAAGCAGAAGTCTTCTCAAGGTGCCTCTTTAGTCATAGTTGTGCTAAACCTCAAAATTAAAAACCTAAAACGGTGATAGAACCCCTTAAGAGAAAACCAACTGTACATTAAATATCATTTTCTTTAAAAATTAAACTTCGTTCATTTGAAGACACCAAGAATCTGTGTTCATCACACACTAACGTGTATACACAGAAGCTTACTACAGTTGTGTTTAAAAGTTAAACAAAATCAAAGACTCCACAACATTCCCATGGACATGGAATCCCAGTCCTCAACAGCTTATAGTCTACATCAGATGTGTCAAACTCTCAGTTACCGGGTCAGATCCAGGCTGCAAGACTTCTTGCAAGTCAGATCCGGACCCACCTTTGGTAGCAGGGTAAATAGTGGTATGTCAGTTCAGGGAGCCAAGGGGACACACAGAGCTGACATTTGCCCCGCCACTGCCAACACGTACCTCCAATGGGGCTCTTTACCCCAGAATCTAGCAGTGAGCTCCATCTCCTAATTTATGACCCCTAGAGGAGCCCTGCAGGCCAGATGACACAGCTCCATGGGCTAGATCCAGCCTGCAGGCCATGTCCTTGATAACCCTTGTTTAGTCTTAGATGCAAGTAATGATCAACAATAAGAAAAAGACAGCCATGACAGTACCACATATAATTTGGTTATATACCCTGTGACCCCTGGCTTTCTGGAGGCACTGTGGAAAAAAAAAAAGTGAACTGAAGAGGAATCATAAAGAGAGAAGGGTAATGTCTGGGTGAGCCTGGAAAAATGCATGGAGAAAGAAGACGGTGGACGGGGCATCAAACCTAGCATCAGTGATAAAAGAAAGGGAGACAAATCATATATTTATATAATTGAGACAGTTCTAGAAGGACTATTCATTAGCTTACAATGGAGAAATAGAAGTATTCAAATTGGTGGATGGGCAAGGAAGATCGGCTCCATCCCACCGTGTAGCAATGCATGTACCTAAAAGGTCAAGCCAGCATGCTATCAGGGTATCGATGACACTTAGTTGCAGGGATGGAAAATAGGATTAGAACTTCAAAATGCATGGAGGGAAGAATGGCTGACTGAACACTGTAGTTTACTAAAGGCACACAGGAAATTAAAAATGATTAAATCAGTGGGCCAAGTAATATTTACTTATTCCAATAACATTTTTGAAAAAGTGACGAAAGAAGCACAATGGCTTGAGGCCAATTTTTTACTTGTGTGTTTTCCCAAATTAGAAAGGGAATTTCAGCAAAAGCAGGTGTTTACCCACTCCTGAGCACCATAGGAATATGGCCTTTGAAACTGGTAAGTACCTTTAAAATCAGTTTGGGGTTCAGTTAAAATGTATTAAACAATGTCTCTCCCCCTGTCCCTACCCCAAAGACCACCACCTTTAGGATGGCTAAAATTAAAATAAAAGGTTACAGATTTGCTTTAAGTTTCCTGGCAAGAAAAGCATTTTTGCAACTTATTTTCTAAGATGATCACAACTCTTTATGAAAGGATACCTAGAATATCTATTAAGTCATCTAATTTATGGGACAAAGAGGGTGGGGAAAGAGCAGTATACTCACAAGCTCCTTCTAGTTGAAATGCCAGAACAAGACATACTGCCAGTCTATTTTGCAGATCTTTGATGGATAACTCCATTTTTCCTTTTCTTTCACCTGTGCTCTGCATGTAGAGTGACACTGAATAATTATCACCATCCTTCCCTTGCTTTGATCAGAGAACATATGTTAACAAGTATGTTTCAGCATTACTTATCAGTTAGAGCTAAAAGGAAGAAGCGTCTTCAGAACTTCGTTGCCACACCCTGTAATGCTGTGCCCAGACACATGTTTAGGTGTCCCAAACAGCTAAGACCATATTGCTTCCTTTGGAAAACTATTCCACAATCTGATAAGCCTCAGAATCAAATTCCTACTGAATCCAGCCTGAATTTGCCTTGTCAATGTTGCCACACTGTCCCAGTTATGCCCACCTTTGCTCTGCCCCCCAGCACTACCTTACCTCAAATAAGTCAGTTCTTCCAGATCCTTAAAACAAATTGGAAGGAGGTTTTAAAAACAACCTCAAACATTCCATAATGTACTTCCTAGAGCTGAGCACAACGTACTAGATAGTTTTACTAGTGCTGCAATGGGATCAAGCAAACTACAAGACTAAGATTTATTCTTACGAAGTAATGTTTTTTTTGCTAGAATGGTTTGATTTTCCTCTGGATGTGTATTCTTACCAAGAGAGAATATACAAAGGAAGCTAGATTCATGGGTAGTCGATAGATCACACTTTTAGAAGTTTGGGAAACTGTAATATGGTACTTGTTGCTAGTATAACATGGCAACATAAACCCCAAACCTGCAGTCAGATCTGTATGAGAAGACACTTCATGCATAAACGGTCACAAAAAACCCCCCGAACAGTAAAGCTCTACACCTCAGTTCAGGCATTTCCCTCCATGGGCCAAGCTACATTACTGAAAAAAAAATTAGTCTGAAAATTTGGAGAGATGCATATAACAGTATTTGGACACTATCAACCTTGAAGTTTTAAGATGGTATGGTATTTCACTTGGTTAACTTTGGATTCAGTAGTTATTTTCAATCTCCCACCTCCTTATAGTATTTATATTACTTGTTGAAAAGCGGATTAGGAGGAGCTTAGTTCTTCAGCCATTATTCTGGATCCTCCTTCAGTTTCTTCCCCTTATTTGTTAGCTAGTTTTTTTGCTTGCTTAGCAAAGTAATCTAGTACATACACTGTGTTAGAAAGAAAACAGGAGTGAAACATTTACTGTATATATAAACAATTCTTTATTCAGTTTCTAAGGTACATTTGGAAAATAAAGATGAAAGCTTTTCCTCACGTCAAAACAACAGTGACAAACTGCAGAATCATGAAGACTCCGTTTAAAAAGGCATTATCCCCCTTAACAAAAAAATCCCTCATTGTGGAATGGTCCACAATGACTTTAAGAGAAGTTTCTCAAACAAACATTAGGAATAAAAAAAAAATCAAAATTAGTTCAGTGCACTCATTGCTACATTACACTTCAATAAAGGCACATACTAAAATACCCACTTAAGTATTTGCAATTAGTACTGCAATTTCCAAGCCTTGTAACTTTTCAAAAGTACAGGCTTCAGTCATTAATTAAAGGAAGGTGGAAAAAAAGAAGAACAAAACTTATCCAACATGGGAACAGAGTAATTAAAATATCAGCAAATTAAACTGAACTAATGGAATTGCTTGCAAGCACGTATGTTTACCAAGGTCTAGCCTTGGTGCTCATTACATGAAATAATTCCAGAAAAGTATGGCTTATAAAAATGCACGTTAAAATGAGACACAGCTGAGAAAAACACATCAGGGAATGCTAGGTCAGTTTGAGAAAAATAAAAGTTTTTTTGGCTTTAGCCAAGTCATTGAGAGTTGGTTCCATAAATCTAGGATTACTTAATTCAACAGCATTCAACTCAGCTAAAACTTCAGACCAGAACCGTTAGAAAAATATCGAACATCCTCCCTTTCTGACAAATGACCTAGTTTAGGAAAGCAGTTCAGAACCTGCCTAATTTTAGCCATGTGCAGAGAGGAGGACTAAGCACATGCTTTACAGTTAAGCAGGTGTGTAAGATTTTGCTGAATACGTGCCTAGAGGGAAGCAGTCAGTTTTTAATTTTCAAACAGTAGAATCTTGCTAATCTACACACCTCAACAAGTTGGATCTTCCATTTTCTCATTCAAAGTTTAAATAGTTGCTATAGTGAAGCAGTTTACTACTAAGACAGCTATATACACAAAATATTTATTACATTACTCTAACAATATATACACCGTGTTTATTCATTTTGACAATGATACTGTATTATAAAAAAATTTTACTTTAAAAAAAAATGGCTTGAATACTTCCTTACTAATTTACAATGGGTTTTCCAACCATTGGTGTAGTTTAGCAAGGTTTTGCAGTATATTTGACAGTGGGCTTCATTGGCAGAGGAAAATCAATTTCCCCAGACACCCAGAGAAAGGGTAATTTTTGTTACAGTATGTGGCAAACACTTTATTGTAGTTCGAGTTAATGATACGCAGTTATTTTTAAAATGTATACTTCCTATTCTCACCACAGTACTTAATATGTAAAAACCCTAGATTACAAATGATTCAAGCTCTGCTAAGTATTTTGGTTAATTCACTGGTTGGTTAAACCAATACTATTTATCTCCAAAGAAAATACTTAACCTGATTCCAAATCAAGTTATAGTGCATGTATTGTCAGGAAATGTAAGTGTTTAGCTGTCAGAAGCACAAAGGTATTCTAAATAAACGAGCTGAAAATGTATCAATTCATTTATAATGATGAGCCTGACTCCAAAGCTGAGTGGTAGGAAAATGTGGTTTCATTATTCAGTTATCTATATGAGCCCTCAAATACCAACAACTAAGATTACAGTCCTTCCACAGACATCTTATCAAATATAATACATAAGAGATTTTCACACAACTGTGCTTAGCTGGTATTAGAAGCTTTCATCTATTGCTCATCCTATATATACATACTCAATTTATTATCACTGGGGGGGATGTACAAATAGTTGCACAAAACCGGAAGAGAAATATTTTCCTATTTTTTTACTCCTTTACAGTAAAGTTTTTTTCCTGAGTAAGTGAAGAAAGTACAGTATTCATTCAAACATTCTCCTGATTCTTTCTGGAAACAGAGAAAGGACAAGCCACCTAGAGGAGAACAGTACAGAAGTAATGCATTTCTCTCATGCAGCCATCTCTCTCCTAAGGATTTCATGCTTTAGAGCTTTTACATGTTTTTAAACACATTTTCTTCCTCCTTTGGCCAACTCAGCATATTTATTTCAAATGCTGATTTCAGTATTCCCTTGATTTCTTCGTTTTCCTGACAAATAAAGAGAATTCCTCTAGAATTCTAGAGCAAAACTAGAGTTCTGGCTTGAAGCTCAGTTAAAATATTTCAGCATAAGAGAGTACCAAAAGTACTGAAATGTTGCATGTGCTGAATATATCAGCTATCTTGACACAACTCGGAAACATAACTGCTTTAAAAATGTTGCTACTTGGCTACTGTCAAATCACTTTCCACCCCTACCACAACACAGCTGATAATGGCTGGAGACAGAAGAAAACAAGAGAAAAGAAGGCATGAACAAAATTTGATTTAAATGAACACAAGCTCAGGTTTATCAATCAGGTATGTAAACAAAATTTAAGATTGCCAATTATTCTAGTAGTCAAAGGTGGAGCCAAAAAGTCTTCTTTCAGAAGTATGACTGCATGAGAAAATACTCTGTAGTGATGGTACAGGACATCAGTGTCAGATAAAAATAAGTAAGGTTGTTACAAAATACTTGCTGAAAGAAAACATAATATATTTGTTTGTTTCCCCTTTGATAAAGTGCAGTCACCTAGCCTGAGAATAAGTACCACATTGACAAAGGGATAATAAAGCACTTTGCCAAGTCTGATCATTTAAAAAAATTCTAGCGTAGTCTTGAATCCTATATCCAATTGCCTCAGAATCATGAGAACACTTTGGGAAAGACCATCCCTCTGCTGGTCCAGTTGAGGTACTCCATTCAAATTCTTGTCAGTGGCAAGGTTGGTTCAGGCAGTCACTTGTACGATGCTATCTGAAGACTCCCACATTGATTGAAAGAGCCACTTCTGGCTTACGATGTTTAGGAGCCACCTTTCCCTCAGAAAAAACATCATTCTGCAAATGCTCTGCTTGCCTGCTATAGAAAACATCAGATGGTAATATTAGTGGTAAGCCCTAGTACTATCTTAAGAAATGTATAAACAAGGCTGATTGGAATCCAATTACAACTTCTCCTGGGAAAGATGACATTGTACCCAGTTATTGTCTTTAAAAATGTGGTGTAGGTGATCACAGGGCTGATTTTCCCCTAGTCTGCATCTTGGGTAAGCGAACTAAGCAAAGAGACTCTGGCACAGAAGTCCAAGTGCAGGGAAAACCAGGTATCATAGGTTGAAGTGTCGTGGTGTCCACAATACTGAATATAGGGGGAAAAAAAAATGTCCATTGTTTTATATACTGTGCCCCCTGCATCTCTAAAAGAACAGAGAACTAAAATGGATGCTGGCTTTCCTTAGTAACTTCTTATGCCTCAGACAAAACAACAAGGTAAGAGAATCTATGAAAGGTGGCAAAACCATTTACAGGTTTGAGAACATAAAAAATGCAGACAGTAGAATACCTTTTCTTTTTTTCCACAGCAAGTTGCCTCAGCTTCTCTTTTCCAATATCATCTCTCATGGTACTGAAGTCCTTACTGTCATCAAGTAAAAGATTCTGTTGCCAGAAAACAGTAAGTTCACCAGTGTATTTTACGATTCTATAATACATCACGGTTCCAGATCTGATTAATAATTTTTGTCCAAACATTTACAAGCTTTACAACAGCCAGTTAGATTTAATGAATCTGAAGGACTTAAGAAAAATGAACACCCACCCGCTTTTCAGTTGGCTTTCTAAATTTGACAGTATACCAGTATAAGCACTTTTTCTTCACGGCCTACCACCATGACAAACATGGGCGTCATTATTCCTTGGAAGCCTGACATTTATGTTACTTATTTATATTGCTTTCCCAAACAAACAAGTTTGTTCAGTTTACCTCCAAGTAATAATTTTCATTTTTTAAACTATGCAATTAACAGTTTTAATACTTGCCCTGGAAAATGTGAAGGACTCATTTAAATTTGAAATCAGATTTTATTTTTGAATGCACACCTCTTCCCTCCTAAGATTATTTCTCCAGTTCATAAGTTAATTAGTCCCCTGTCACATACATTATGCAATTAACTAGTTAATCTCACAATACATTTAGACCAGCTACACATGCAAAGTAATTATCACACCCCATCCAGAACCAGCTACAAAGTTACTGCTTGAAAATATGTAACAACTTTATAGCTGGTTTCTACCCAGCTTTAATTTGAATGCATGGTAGGGCCTTTACAGAATAGGGAAGGACACATCCATAAGTAAATAACAAATATTGATTCATTGTTAGTAAGGACAGATCTACTAAGTAGCCTCTAAGGAGTGCTTGTCAAATGCCAGCAACAGGAATTGGATAAAAGTCTGCAGAGCTGAAACTATAGCAGTAGGCATGAGCTGAGAACAGAAGGGAAAGGTCTCAAAGGATAAAAGGAAACTATTGCAGCAGGTACAAGATCATGGACAGGATAAGCAGGATCTCTACAGATGAAGGCATTAAGCTGGTGAAGAGATTAATACTTATTTGGCACCATCAGAGGCTGTAAAACCCAAGTTACTTTAATCACCATGTTCATTCCGAAATAATTTACCTTCACACCAATAATATCTCCATCTTTCAGGTAATAGGGTGCTGACTGCAGACTCTCCTGTTTTTTTTTTCTTTTTCTCTTTGAAATTTGCTGGGTCTGAAAAGAAGAAAAAAAAAAAAAGCATCAGTGTTCACATGTCCAATACTCAAGATGGCTTTGATCTCTCAGGGAGATTCTTCAGCTGATCTTTGCCGGGGTTTCTCCTTCTAAAGGCATAAAATTCCTGGCATTAACAACTTAGGACTTACTTTAAATATTCCCTCATATTTGTAATCTCTCTCCTCTTCACACATGTACCCTTCATACCTTTTTGACCTTAAGAACAATTAGACGACACTGTATCTATAAGCAGTATTTTTTAAAAGATCTTTAATTACAGGATACGTTTTATAGCAAGGTGAGAAATGTCTTCATCTCATGTTATCCATACAGAACTTTACATTATTTCCACAGTTCCAAACCTTGCAGCTATGGTCTGGAAAAAAAGAAAAAGCAAACCATGCCTCCAGGATGGTATACATTTGGTTATCTAAACCCCTTTGGAAACTACTGCTGAAAAGCAGTTCAAATAGCTGAATTTATTCAGATGAGCATGAGTGCTCCAAATTTCTGTACAGTAAGGATGTAATAAGATCTTTACTTAAAAGTAAAGATGTAATATTGTATTAAATAAGTAACTTTAAAAAGAAAAGAATTTATTACAAAATGCCAACAGCTCCAACTTAGCAAAAAAGGAAAAAAAATTCCATCGGATAACTGAGGATGTGTTGTATATAATAAGATGCCAACCAAGTTAGAATTAAGCATGGAATAGCATGCATGTCCTACAAAGCAGGGAAACAGTTCAATCACACAAACAATTGCTATAACATGATAGGTGGCTGATATGTTTATTATGCAATCAGTACACATTATCTACCTCAAAAGGCTTTACTGTGCCCCTGGGAGACATTACATTTACAGCATAATTATAGGGTTAAGCATGTCATAAACTGCACTGTGCCACATGTTTAGCAAACTTGTTACCATAAAATTACAAACCAGCCACAAAGATGTTAACCACATCTAATATAGCACGTCTTTGGGACTATTTTGTACAGCATCTTAAGTTGAACACATGGCACATGCTGCCTCAGTCATGATGCTGACAAATCAACTAATTGTCAGCATGAGGCTGAGACAGCTCCAGGTCCAAAACTGGCCTGGCACTGTTACAGCTTTGCTCTGCAGTCTGCATGCAAGACAGGGCATTTAAAAGTTCCCCCCCTGCCATCAGCATATTTGCAGCCACATACAGGGTGAAGGGAAAACCTGCAAGTATGGCTGGTACAGGGGGAAAATTGCTGCCAGACTTGGGGAGGAAGGAGCCCCCACATTTAAAAGAGAGCTCCCCTGTTCAATTCTCAGGATTGGGTGTAGCTGTGCTACATATACAGTGTTTCAAAGCCCAGAGTAGGGGAACCTATGATTTCTCTGATTTCAGGTTCCCAGCACTCTGGCTCTACATCATGCATGTAGCCCAGCTGGAATGCAAATATGGTGTTTAAAGGGCTTGGCCAGGGGAACCCAAAAGCCTACCCCCAGTCTCATGGCCTCCTGCCCTAGGCTTTCAAACACCACACGTGCATCCCAGTTGGGCTGCACATATGGTTTTTAGATCTGAGGCTACCTGAACCCACAGCCCCCCTACCCAACCATGGGGATTTGGGCAGGGAGTAGTTTGTCCTGAAACCAGGGTTACCCCGTGCCCAATTCCAACCACTGTGATCAGTCATGGCCACAGCCCCAGAGTCAGGACACAGCTGTCTGCTGTTCAGTCCACAAGGTTGGGATGGGCTAGGGGCAGCTTTGGTCCTGGGTCTGGCCCAGAAGTGGTATGACTGGGCTTTGAAGAATTGTGCCCCACCCCACATGCATGTGTGGCAAGGCAGGATGCACAATATTTGGGGTGTAGCATAAAGTGCCTCAGATCACACCAATATTTTAATGTCTGCCAGGAGCTTCATTCACATTGCAGAACTTAAGACTTTTAGTGGCTTAGGTTCTGATTAAGTTCTCCCTGTCACTACCCTGACTTCAAAAATAACTGATCAGCAGGGATCTAGGTTTTCTGTTTTCCACAGAAAAACAGAGAAAACCAAAGATTCCCCATTTTTAAAATGGGAGAAAACGTGGATTTTCCTTTTTAGCAGAGAAATCTGCAGATTCTCTGCTTTTGCAAAGAGCACATGCAGGCTAGCACACCTCCAGGCAGAAAGAGCCAATTGCAGAAAGGGCAGGAAATCCCCCTGCCCTGCCCAGAGGGGGAGGAAGAGGGGAAAGGGCAGGACCTGAGCCTCTGAGGCAGTCAAGGCTGGGCTCAGGCTTACCTCTAGGCTCCAAGGGCGAGTCTAAGTGGGGCTTGGGGGCTGTGGGACAGGGCTGGGGAAGATGGTTGGGGGCTGAGGGAGAGGGGGGTGCTGCCAGCCCCAGGAGGCACACCACAGTTGGGAGCAGGGCCAAGGGTGAGGACAGGGGTGCCCCTCCGTAGGGTGCAGTGTGCAGTGTGGTGTTGCCCGCCATGTGCGGGCTACACACATGTCGCCTGGCCACCTGCCCAGGATGGGGGTGGGAGAATGAGGTTTGCATGCGGCCGGAGCACAGCTCTGTGGCTGGCTTTGCAGCCATGGGGGGGGGGGGGGGCTCACACACAGCAGCTGCTGCCACCTACCTGGAGGGCTGTGTCAGTGGTGACAACTGTTGCCTAAAAAAACCTCCTGCTGCTGCCACAGAGCCATGCCCGGAGGTCTGCAGTCAGCCGCTGGGTGGCAGCGGCAGTGTGGTGGTGGCCAGCCAGCACACAGCCATCCCCACCACCATTCTGTGCTGCACCACTGCTGCCAGCCACACAGCTCCAAGCACCGCTCCGCGGTGGCAGCAGAAGGTTTTGTATACAGCAGCAGTCACTGCTGGCATGGGCAGCCACTGCTGAGTACCTGTGGGGCTGCCCGTGCCAGCGGTGACTGCCACCGAGTATAAAACCTCCCACTGCCACCACAGAGCCGTGCTCCAAGCTGTGTAGCTGGCAGCAGTGGTGCAGCACAGAACGGTGGTGGGGATGGCTGCGTGCTACCCAGCTACCACCACACTGCTGCTGCTGCCCAGTGGCTGGCTGCAAGGCCCCCCCTCCGCAGAGGGGCACCCCTGCCCTCACCGCCTGGATCTGCTCCCAGCTGTGGTGTGCCACCTGGAGCTGGCAGCACCCCCTGCTCCCTCAGCCCCCAACCATCTTCCCCAGCCCTGCCCCACAGCCCCCAAGCTCCACTTACCTCAAGGATCCAGGGGCAAAGTGCATGGCTCTATGGTGGCAGCACTTGCCCTCAAAGACCCCCCAACCCTGCATGCAGCTGCCACCATCCTGCACCACTGCAGAGCCATGCAGCCAGTTGTGGGGCATGCCACTACATGCAAGCCCCCTGTTCCACCCCCCAGCCGGGTGGCACGTATGTGGCCCACACACAGTAGTTACCACCACACTGCCGCTGCTGCGCCCTGCACCACTTGCCCACAAAGCCATGCAGTTGGCCATGGGATGGTAGCAAAAGGTACACTGGCTAAGTTGCGCTGGCAGCCTCCGTGTGCGAACCCCGTCAGGCGGGCCGGCATGTGTGTGGCCCACAGAGTGGCAACCCTGCCCTCACCCCCTGGCCCTGCTCCAGGGAGTGAGTACAGGGGCACCCTCCCCACCTTCTTAATCTACTCCGCAGCACCTTCCCTTTCCCCTGCCCTGCCCCGCCCCTTCCCCTCCACACACACTTACTTGCTGGAGTGGGTGTCAGTGTCTGTCTGCATGTCTGTGCCTGTGGGTCTGGGGGGCTATTGCGAGGGGGATCAGGAGGGCTGCTGAGACTGTGGGGGGGAGTGCGGGGCATCAGCAGCGCTGGGGGGGAGCTGTGGGGGGCCTTTAATTTTTATCATGGATTTTGGGTTTTTAAAATCAGAGAATTTGCAATTTTTAATCAGAGAAAGCCAGGATCCCTGCTGATCAGGCTCTTAAAGAGTAAGCAGCATCATTTACTTTCCAAATCACCCTGATAGGAAATAGTCATGTATCCAAATGTATAATTGCTGCTTTTTTTTTTTTTTTA